AACTGGCCCTTCTAGTGTATTTGCCTCTAGCCCTCAAGAGACTGGTCATCCGGTCGAGCATCCAAGCCTGGAGAAATTAGGTGCTTGGCACAGACCTACAGATGAAGGAGAGGAAGGGGACTCTAGCATGGATTGAAGTCCTACTCTGTGCCAGGTATTTTAAAGATATTGATCATCAGACTAGGATCCTGATCTCTCAGAGGGGAATGCCAGGAGGGACAGACTGATGCTCAGACTTCCCAGGAGGTGAAGATCAAATCTTAGTACTGAAAATAAATGCCCATAAGGGATATCTAGGCCAAGCAAGGCTTGATGAGTGGCTGTTAGGGACAGGTTTATCCATCCAGACATTTTTCTTCAAACTGGCAGAAGGCTGACTAGAGACCACAGAACTGGCTGTTCTGGTGGGAGAGGCAGGAAAGAACAGAAAATGGGATACCTGGCCTCCTGCTGTTCACCCTCTAATCAATTGCCCCTGAGCTACCAGACTGCTCTTGGTGATGGTGGTAATGAAGGAAATTCCCTTTCCTGCCCCCGTGTCTCCCTGGACTACCCCATGCTCCCCCCCCCATTTGCTCCTGCAGGTGGGGATGTAGGTCAGTAAGAGTGGGTGGATGAGAAAGAACAGAGAAGACTCATCCAGACATGACACCCCGCAGGGCAGCAGTGACAACACTTTAACCTGAAAACTGCCTGAAAATAGACTGTGTGTCTATGACATTATGCAAATCATATGCAAAGTCAAGAAGCCCTCTGTCTCTATTTCTAGCAAACTGAACGTGGCCTTGGTGGAAGCAGCTCTTCCAAGAGTCGCCCACCCAGAGTGACGACTGTACAGCTAGCATCAGTTCCAGCAGTGGGAGACTGGACTCAGGACGCCCACCCCTCACTCCGCACCCAGGGATAGGCCTTCGGGGCATGAGGACGTTGCTGTCTCTTGTGCTGTTGATCTTAATGTCAGTGAGGATGCGGAGGAAGCAGAGCCCCCTCCTTGAAGGCTGGTGCCAGGCAGGACTGAGGGAGGACGGTGGCTAGGAAGGCAGAGAGAAGTGTCCTTGAGGGCCTGGCTGGGTACCATGAGGCCTTGGCAGGGAAAGGGGTAGTCCTCAGTATCAAGAGTCATGCTCCAGAAGCCACCTTCACTCTGACATGTTATAGCACCTATCACCTCTCAAGGAGGGCCCTTACCACCCTGGAGACCCTCTCCCTCTTTATACAGGCAAAGAAACGGGGGCCTAGAATCCGCCAGGAAATCAGGGCAAAGCTGCCAAGAGGGTGGTGGGTTTTCTTCCTTCCAAGGCAGGCAGGTTCCCGAGGCAATACGTGGAGGCTGGGGCTTGGACACTGGGACTTCCCAAGGACTCTTCTAACTCTGGAGAGCAACGAGCCAGTTCTTCTCCCCAGATTCCGCTCAGCGTTCATGGAGCTCTTTCCCTGCAATTTTCCCACTGCCCTTCTCCCGCCCCTCCAACCATGGTGGGGACACCAGGGTGGGGACGTAAGGACCAGGGTCTTGCAGGCGCGGAGGGGAAGGGAAAGGCCGCCTCTGCCGGACACTAGGAACGCTCCGATTTCCTCAGAGCTGGTCTAAGAGGCCGGGCGCCCGACCGTCTGGAAGGCGCTGTCAGTCCTGGCGGGATCCACCAAGGGGGCTGCAGGCGCGAAGCCGACCTGGGGGCTGTCTGTGGTGAGAGGAATTGGCGTACGCTCCCTGCGTGTCCCTAAGAGGGCGACTAATACAAAGGCAAGGGATTTTCTGGGCTGGGCAGTCCCACGGAAAGGCCCCTCCCAGCTGCCCTCAGTACCTGCCTCCCCACGGCGTGCACCGCCCCCAATTTCCGGGCCGGGGCAGGGAGGGCGGGGGCCGAGATGCTTTCTGAGCCCAGGACGCCACCGGGGTTTCCCAGGGATGGAGACGTTCAAGTTGTGGGTATGGGGACCCCATGTGAGGAGGGATAGCGACCGGGAGCTGAGAAGGGCGGGTCCAAGCCGCCCGTGCGTGAGGACTCGCGCAGCGCCCCGCTAGGTGTGGCTTTCCGGGCAGTGCTGCGGTGCGGAGGTCGGCGGAGCGCACGCACGCACGCCGGCGCGGGGCGGGGCAGGCGGGAGCGCCCTGCCGGGAACGGCCCGCGGGCCCCGGAGCCGAGGGGGTGGGGCGGGGAGGGGGCGGCCGCTGGGCCGCCGGGCGGCCGGCAGAGGGCGACGTGGCGGGCGCGGCGATCTGGCTGCTCCCGTGCAGAGTCGGAACTGAGATTTGGGCCTCCGCGGGGTTCTAAACAGGGGCCTGCGGGGACTGTGACCTGAGGGCAAAGCGGGGCGTGCACCCCCCGCGACCTGGTCCTTCCCGGCCCCTCTCCGGTTCCCTCTGGACATCTGCGACCGGCCACTCCAGGGGCGTCTGAAGACTCGGCAGGACTTAGGATTCAACCGTGGTTTATTGAGGGCCTACTGTGTGCTAGGCACGTGTGCTGTGCTCCCACAAACTATAGCTCCACACAAGGGAAGTGTAATTTTGACCCTGGAACAGCTTCCTGCACTCAGACAGAAGCATTTGCAGACTGCTCTTAGCAATGCCACCTCCTTCACTCCCTGGCCACAGGACCCCTTCTGACATTCCACCTCTTGCCTCAGACCTTCTCTTAGGGATTTTCCAGCCTTTAGGGAGCTGCTGCCTTCAGTTTCGGGCTGTGGAGTCTCAGGAGGAATTTGCCTCAAAATCTTATAGAGATAAAATCCTTCAGGAGGGAGACTGATTTATGGGCTGGGTAGGTTCCAGTGACCAGAGGATATGCAATCTCTGCCCCGATGATGTGGGAACCCAGCCTGTCCATTCAGCTTTCTGTTTTTACCCAGTTTCACTTCCTGGTTCTCCTCTGGGCCTTGCACAATGGTGGGAGACAGGCCTGGGAAAGTGTCCCCGTGGAGATGGTAGAGGATACACACACAACAAGCCTGCCTGTGCAGGGTCATTAACAACAGAAGGGAGTAGGCAAGCTCTCTTCACCGCCCTGCCCCAGGGCTAAGGGCTGCTAGGATGGTTCCTCCTTGTCCCTAGCCTGAGCCCCTGCCCTTTACACCCCTCAAGCTCTATCTCCAATCCACCTCCTTCCAACCTATGCACCCATCCAGGGTCTAGGTTAACCCACTCAAACGTGAACATACAACCTTGACATTTCCAAATGCCAGACTTTATGTGTCTCCCTAGAGCCACTGAGTTCTCCTGGGACACACACTTTCTGGGGCCTGGCCAAGAGTGTGGGCCTGGGCCAGGGGCCAGTAGGGAACAAGAACCTGGGTGCTAGAGGCTTCTTGCATGGAGTCAAATTTCCTTTGAGCCTTGAAGGCCCTAGAGCAGACGTACTCAAACTACGGCCCGAGGGCCACATGCGGGCAGCCTAGCACATTTATCCGGCCCTCCAGGTGTTTTTGCCGCTGCTGCTTGTCCTGCTTAGCAGCCGACACGACACGTCCCCAACCCACAGTGCACACTCTCCAACAGTCTGAGGGACAGTGAACTAGCTCCCTGTTTAGAAAGTTTGAGGACCCCTACCCTAGATGAAGCCACTCCTCAGTCCTAGGGCAGAGGAGGCTAAGTCACAGAGAGGGTGATGGGCTAGCTTGTTGGCCAGAAGGCCCAGGGCTGTCTGAGCCCAGGATGGCCACTGGCATGGTTCAAGGCAAAAAATGGAGCTTGCAGAATTACACTAGGAGGCACTTCAGATATTCCTGGACTCACATAAAGTTATTTTCAAACCCTCATCTTAAGGCAAATTGCCAGGGGCTGAGACATAAGAAGTAGATGACACTGATGCCCTGACGTAGGCTGAACTTTCAAAGAGAACTAAGAAGCCTTGGCTGGCCAGGCACAATGGCTCTCGCCTGTAATCTTAGCACTCTGGGAGGCTGAGGCAAGAGGATCACTTGAGCTCAGAAGATTGAGAGCAGCCTGAGCAAGAGCGAGACCCCATCTCTATAAAAAAATAGAAAAATTACGAAGCTCTGACTTGAGGGGGGAGGAGGAGCATGGGCAATATATGTAACCTTAACATTTGTACCCCCATAAAATACTGAGAAAAAAAAAAAGAAAAATTAGCCAGGTGCAGTGGCACATGCCTGTGGTCCCAGCTATTAGGGAGGCTGAGGCAGGAGGATTGCTTGAGCCCAGGAGTTTGAGGTTGCTGTGAGCTAGGCTGATGCCACGGTACTCTAGCCCAAGCTATAGAGAGAGACTCTGTCTCAAAAAAAAAAAAAAAAAATAAGCAGCAGCCTCAAAGGACCAAATCCTCCAATACATAGATGAAGAAACAAAGGTCCCAAGACAGTGCAGGCCCCACTCTTGTCATATGGCACAAGCGAGCACCCAGGATCAGACCTGAGTCTCTTGAGCCTTGCCTGAGCCTCTCCCTGCCATGCCAGGCCTCAATATCTCATCAGTTATTCTTAAAGTCCTGGCCTTACCCATACGACCTGCCACATCTCCACTGGCTTATGATCTTGCCACACCCTCAAAAAGACCTCTTGGGTTTTAATGCCCTAATAAGTCAGCAAGGAAGGTGGTGGGAGGGGGGACCAGGCCAGGCCCCAGCTCTCCCAGCAGCTGGCATTCAGCTAGCCAGGGTCTTGTCGGGGAGACAGAAAGCTCAAGGCGTTATGGAGCTGAGATATAAACGCATGGAAAGAAACTGATGGGCCCTGGCTCTCTGGGGCTTGTGCCAGAGGTGGAAGCCTGGCAGGGCAGAGTGTCTCCTAAGGGCTGGACAGGGCCCTGCGCCACCCTGCCAGCTCTGACGAGCAGCGGGGTTGCCCAAGGGTAGGGGTAAGGTACAGGCCCAGGCTCAGAGCCCAAGACTGGGATTCCCTGGCTTGGCCACCCTGGCCCTGGAACCTCTTTTGCATCCTGTCCTAGCATTGGTAGGGGGTGCGCCCTGCTGGCGGTGGGGGTGGAGAGAGAGCCAGGCGTCAGGGAGCCTGCTGCTTTGAGCAGGCCAGACGGCGGGGAGTCAGATTTCAGCCCAGCTGTATTTTTGGCTGGATGGGCTGGGGGCCGAGCTGGGCAGGCACAGCTGTCCCAGAGAGGGGCACCCCCTCCCCAGCACACACACTCACACTACCTCTACCCAGACAGGCCACCATCCATCCCCCACTCCTGCCCCAACTGCAGGCAGAGGGGAGTCAGACGCCCCTGGGCTAGTGGATCACTTTGGGCTTCTCTGGACTGTTGCTGATTTTCTGTAGTGTCTTCTTGATCCGCAGCGCAGTGAGTCGGGCAGAGGGGTTGTGGTACCAGCACTCCCGCATCATCTGAGCCAGGCCTGAGAGGACCTGGGGGTCAGGGAGAGAGGCAGGAACATGGGTCAGAGAAGATGGAAGAAAGGAGGTGTGGAAGTGGCCCAGTGATGGAGAGACACAGGCAGGAGAGAAAGGATGAGAAGATGAAGATGAGAGTATTGGAAAGGATGCTGTGAGGAAAGACGGAGAGGTGAGAGGGGGAGTGGAGGGAAGCAGGCAAAGATGAGAAGAAAAAGATAAAAAACAGGAGAGGAACAGAGTGGAGTACGACAGCGGATGGAGACGGCAGGCAAGACAGAGAGCAAAAACTCAGATCTCCAGGAGCACTCAGACCCCCTGCCCCCTGCACCTGCTCCCCAGCAAGGAATGTCTACGGAACACCTCACCCCCACCCAACCCCCTGCCCCCTGCACCTGCTCCCCAGCAAGGAATGTCTACGGAACACCTCACCCCCACCCAACCTCTGCCATGATCCATGGGAAAGGGCAGATCTGCAAGATTTGGGGTCCCCACATCCCCACCTGCAGCTTGAGATCCCCATGTGGAGAGCAGTGTCTCCCAGCCCCTCCACTAGTCTGGGCCCAGGGGACCATGGAAGTAAGGATGGTGGGAATGGCCCTAAAAATGCATGTGTCCAGGGAGGAACCCATCCCAGGAAGCTCAGTGGTCCTAGAATGAGCCTCCTTTGACTCCTGAAAGAGAGTATATGTGTGTGCATATATGTGGCTCTTTGTGGATCTGTACTCTGGGCAGAAACATACATGTGTCTATGTATGCATAGATATATGTATGTGTACACATTTGCTCATCATTCCAGTAAATATTTATTGAATGCCTACTGTATGCCAAGTACTATAATAGGTAACAGGAATATGAGGGTGAGCAAAAGAGATGCCCTTTGTCCTCATGGGGCCAGCAGTCTGGCATACATGCACTAGGTATGTATCTGTGAGTATATGTTTAGAAGCATATGCATGCTTGTATGTGTTTATATACAGGTATGTGTGTCTTTGTATAAGCATGTGAAATGTTTTGAGAAAAAACAAAGACAAACAAACAACAAAGATGCCACAGCAAGAAACACAGCAGAGAGCCTCTGACTTTTCACAGGCATGGTAAAGTGTTCTGAAAATCCCAGAATGAGCAGGGGGTCCTGCGGGTGGGGGGAGGGGCCAGGGATGTGAGAGGGAGACGCCAGGGAGGTGCCTTCCACCAGGACACCCAGAATCTATCCAAGGTGAAGCAGAGGCCTCAGACAGGAACCCCAGCTGTGAGCCACCACCCCGCACTGCCCCAGCCCCCGCGGAGGCCTCACCGGGTCTGCAGCCAGCCGGTTAGGGATGGTGGGGGTCTGCTGATCAACACACACCACCTTCCGCATGTCCTCAAAGCTGGGGTCGTTGGGCACCACATCATAGAAGGGTGGCCTGTAGTCCTCCACAATGCCTGGTGATGGGGGACACAGGGGACAGTCACTGGGGACCCAAGGGAGGCCCAACACCGCCAGGAAAGAGCCTTGCCCACCTTCTGTCCCAAGGGCCAGAAAACCAGTTGCCTGTCCATGCCACCCCTGAGAGGGACACTGTAATATAATAAATATCTTTATAACTAATATAAATCGCTGTCATTTGTTTTGTACTTCCCATGTGCCAGGCCTTGTGCTGTAAACACTTTACATGCATTGCTCTGTCAGTCCTCACAACAGCCCCGTGAGGTGGCTACTGTTAACACCTCCATTTACAGATGAGGAAACTGATGCTCAGGGAAGTTGAGCCCAAGATTACACAGCTAGTAAAGGCAGACTCAAGACTCAAACCCATCTCAGATTCCTGAGCCACTCTTGCTCCAGTCTTTCCTCAGCTGCCTTCCACCCAGGGCCTGGCTACTGCTCCCAGGCCCCAACTAACGCAGATGCCCAATGACGATAACACAGAATGTTTACTGAGCACTTACGATGTGCTCTGCATTAAATCCTTACAGCCCTACAAGGTAAGGAGTACTATTAGCTCTGCTTTATAAGCCAAGAAATCAAGGCCAGAGCATTTAAGAAACTTGTGTAAGATCAGCAGATCGTAAGTAACAGCTAGGATTTAAGCCCAGAAAGTCTAACGCCAAAGCCTGTGCTCTTGACCTCCAAGCTGCACTTCTGGGAGGGTAGCTAGTTGACTGCTGGATGAGGATGCAACAAAGACAAGAAGGGGCAGAAAACAGCTCTCCTAAGAGAAAGGGATTTTTATCCAAGTCTGCCTACAGCCCTCCACTGACCCCTGTAGCCAGCAGCGTCCCCTGCCCATGTCATTCCAAGTGCACAGTCCCTAGTAGGAGCTTTCTGAAGACAATGCTTGTGGAGCTACAGATAGCCCCGTGTGCCATCCAGTGTCACAGGGGGCCGTGGCCACACAGGCCGCAACCTCAGTAGAGCCTTCGCCAGCTGTTTTCCACATGGCGGGCTTCCAGGCTGGCCCCTGTGTCGGTGGCGTCCTAATCAGTGCTGCACAGAGGCCTGAGTGTGTCTAATGGGCCTTTAATCAGTGCTGGGGCTGACACCAGATTACAGTGTTTATAATGAGCCGAGAATGTGTGCGGGGCTGCGGGAGCTTCCCCCTCCGCCCGGAGCCTGCAGGCAGCCTCCTTCCCAGCCCTTCCTCTCTAGCCTGCAGCCTGGCCCGAAGGACCTTAGCTTCTTCCAGGGGCCCCCTTCCCTGACCCCAGCCTCCTAGACCCCACTCTGGCACTTCATGCTGAGTCTCAAGGAATCTGAGCCCCTCTGGAGCCTCCTCGAGGGATCAGTGACACCTCGGCCTCCATTGTCAGCTGATGACCACTGAGGGCAAATGAAGTCTGCCATGGGGCTGCTCCTGGTAGATGTCCAGTAAATAAGTCCCCAGAACAGGGCTCCAGTTATATCCCAAGGATTGTCCCCAAGCTGTCAGGACTCCTGGCAGCCCCTCACCATAGGCAACCTCCACAAAGTCTGACAATCCTCCCACCAGTCCCAATGACCACTCATCCTCCATCCACCACAGGGCTGAGAAGGCACCCACCACAGACAGGACTGCCCAGGCAGGTCCCTCTGCCTGCCCCGGCCCCTCCAAACCAGAGTCCCCTGTGGCAACCTGCCACAATAATGGGGAAGCAACAAGCAGGCAGTGCAGGCACCAGTCTATACTGCACTTGGGGATGAGGAAATTGAAGACTGGAGAGGGTTAAGTCAGCACCATGGTAAAGAGCACTGGCTCCAGAGTCAGACTGCTTGGTTTCAGACCCTGATGCTGCCTCTAGCCAGCTACAATCTGTGCCTCAGTCTCCTCATCTGTAAGATGGGGATAATACTATCTCAGTCATTTATTGTATTACAACAATAACGGCCACTAATATTTAGCTCTAAATATTCTAAACACTTTACTTAGATTATCTCAACAACTAGAGGTATTTTTATTTTCATTTTACAAATGAGGAAACTGATGCACAGAGAGGTTAAGTAACCTACCCACAGTAATGGCAAAAACTAGGCAATCTGGTTCCAAGCCTATGTTCTTTTTCGGGGGGGGGGCAGAGTCTCACTTTGTTGTCCAGGCTAGAGTGAGTGCCGTGGCGTCAGCCTAGCTCACAGCAACCTCAAACTCCTGGGCTCAAGCAATCCTCCTGCCTCAGCCTCCTGAGTAGCTGGGACTACAGGCATGTGCCACCATGCCTGGCTAATTTTTTCTATATATTAGTTAGCCAATTAATTTCTTTCTATTTATAGGAGACATGGGGTCTCGCTCTTGCTCAGGCTGGTCTCGAACTCCTGACCTTGACCAATCCGCCCACCTCGGCCTCCCAGACTGCTAGGATTACAGGCGTGAGCTACCACCCCCCGCCCAAGCCTATGTTCTTAACCACTAAGCAATACCACCACCCTGCGAAGACAGGAGAATGAAATAAGATAATACATGTAAAGTATATAGCATGGCATCTGGCACATATTTAAGCTCAATAAATGTTAACTTCTATTAATATTTCTGTCATTATTATTACTTGCCCAAGATTTCACAGCCAGACTCACAAACTCAGCTGAACCAGTTGGTGGGTGGCAGAGAAGGGATACCAGGAGGTCAGGCCACAAACCCCTCTGGACACGGGCACCAGCCTTGGCAGGAAGCCTCTGTCTCTACCTGCCCCATTCCCCTTCCTCCACCCTGTGCAAGGTGGGACCTCACCATTGACAATGGTCCGGCGGGCGATCTCCCACAGCACCAGGCCAAAGGCCCAGATGTCGGTCCACTTGTAGGACTCAAAGCAGTCTGTGCGGATCTGCTCATCTAGCACCTCGGGTGCCATGTACCGCTTGGTGCCCACTCTTGGGTTGTTGCCAATGTCCAGGTAATCACTACCCTGGGAGTGCATCACGGCCAGGCCTGTGGGTAGGAGGCCTGTCACTCCTGCCCTTTACCTGAGCCCACGGTCAGGGCAGCCCCAGAAGCTGGGGTCCAGGGTGCAGGCAGGGTGGGGATGGAGAGAGACAGTGGGACATAGAGGGGCAGCCAAATGGAGACCAGCCCCGAGACAGGCTGGTAGGGAGCCACAGGGAGCAAGACGGTCCCAGGTACCCTTTGCTCCTTCCTGTAGTGCTCTCTGGCTTCCGAAGAACCCAGCAAGGTGTGAATAGGTGAGGCAGGCGTTACACGCCCATTTTTCACAGCAGAACGGGGGAGGCCAGTGAGGAGGGATGTGCTTAGTGAAGCCGGGATGAGAACCCAGGTGTGGTGGAAAGAGTTGGCCTTGACAACGGTGTTAAGACAACTTGTGGGGTCTTGGAGAGGTGAAATGAAACACACACCTAAGCGCGGATCTTGGTCGCCGCCCACAGGTGAAGGAGAGGGAGAGGTCGTGGAGCCTGCCTCCGCGCAGGACCCGCCCCCACGATGGGCCCGCCCCCTCGGGACCCGCCCCCCGCGAAGACCGCCCCGCCCCTATGAAAGGCCCGCCCCCACACGAAGAGCCCACCCTGCCCTCGCGGCTCACCCAGGTCAGCGATGCAGCACTGCAGGTTGCTCTTGACCAGCACGTTGCGGCTCTTGAGGTCGCGGTGGGCGATGGCCGGTTTGCCCTGCGTGCCGAAGATCTCCACGTGCAGGTGCGCCAGGCCGCAGGCCGCCGACACGGCGAGCCTCAGGGCCAGCTGGGGCTCCAGCGGCTGCCTCTGCAGAAAGTCGTAGAGCGAGCCGTGCTCGTGGTAGTGCGTGATGAGCCACAGCTGCGTGCTGGAGTTGCGGGAGGTCATGTCCGAGGCGATGAAGCCTGTCGCAGAAGGGTCGGGTGATTCCGCCAAGGGGCTGGGGCTGAGGGAGGCTGGACTGGTCAGGGTCAGGGTCAGGGTCATGGTAGGGCTGGGGAGAGGGAGCGCGCTGGGTCAGGGCAAAAGGGCTGAAGGTGGGCTGGGAGGGTGGCGTCCATGTGTGGAGGTCTGTGGACTCGAGCCCTGAGTGCGGCCTTGCCTAGAATGTTGTCGTGTCTGAGCAGCACTGTGTTGTAGATCTCGGTCTCCCGGAACCAGGACTGTTCGTCCCTCGAGGAGAAGATCTTGACGGCCACACTCTCACCATGCCACAAGCCACGCCACACCTCTCCGTAGCGGCCCTTGCCTGATCCGATGGCCAGAGCGGAGGGTGAACGCTGGGCACGCAGAAACCCGGAAGAGCCCCCAACTAGACGCTGCGCTGACCTCATATGCAGAACCTCTGATGCTTATATTTAATTTGATCAAGACCCAATCCCCAGCTGCCTCTCGTTCCACCCTGGCTCCTGCAGAAGGATCTAGCCCTGGCCCCTCTTCAACCCACTCCCTGCCCTGCAGAATTCCCATCCTGACTTGGGTTTGGCCCCCGCCTGTGACTCCAGAAGCCAAGAACTTCCTCACCCTTCCAGGCTCATGGGAGCCCTGGGTCCCCATCCCCCAGGCTCACCCACTGCTCACCCACACACTCCACCAAGGCGACCTGCCGTGCCACTGTCCTCTGCACCAGGAAGGGGAGCCCCGAACCACTGCCTGTGGTGCAGTCACTGTCCAGGATGTCCTGGGGGTACCAAGAGGCCATTAAGGGGCTGCCCCCACCAGCTGCAGCCCCTTTCAACGTCCCCAACCTGGGGCCTGCTGCTGTGTCCCTGCACCCTCTTCAATCACCCAGCTCCTTGTCTGTTCTAATTTCTGGGTGGCCCCTCTGATTCTGTGGCACCTATCTGCCCCCCTTCCCCTCCACCCTGTGTCCCAGGTCCCCAGGCCCATACCCCCAACATGCTGTCCCCCTGCTCCGACGCCTTCAGGATGAGGCTGGAATCACCCAGCTCGCTGCGCAGGCCCCGCTGCTTCTCCTGCCTCCGACGGACATGCCACAGGCCCAGGACACCCAGGGCCACCAGGGCCAGCAAGGCCAGCATGGGGCCCAGGATCAGAGGCAGCTGGCCATCTACTGTCGGCTGCTCCGAAGGAGTTTGGGTGGCTGTGGGAGGGGGACACTGAGGCCCAGCTTCCTTCTACCAGGCCAGCTCCCCCTACCTTGCGCCAGACCATTCTGCCAGTCAGAGCCCAGAGTGCTCCTCCCACCACGCTCCCCATCCCCAACTGAGCAGAGCATGAAAGGAAAGCAGGGCAGGGTCTGAGAAGATGGGGAGGAGGTGCTGGGGCAACTGGACATACCCTTCAGCTCCAGGGACACGTTGTGGTTGCAGAGGGGGCTGTAGCAGCAGTGGTAGTGGACGAACTCAGTGGGGTACCCCTTGCAGAACTCGTCGTGGTGCATGTTCCCGCAGCCCCGATGTTCCTGGGGCTGGCTGCCCGCCTCCCGCACCAACACCACTGTGCACCAGGTCCCCTGACAGGTAGGCCCCCTGCAATGTGAGTTCTTACACGTGCAGGTCACCAGTGGGCCCTGAGAGGGCTTCACAGGATTGCCTGGGAGACAGGAAGCTCAGCTAATCTGGGTCCAACTCCCCCAGGCTGAGCCCAGCTCCCATCTCTGTCTCACAACCTACTGCCTTCTGACCCATCAAACCCCTCGAGGCCTTGGTCCCTACCGTCCATCCTCAGATCAACCTTCCCTCAGAGTCTTTCCCCCAGCCAGGTGCAGCTAACACTGTGAGAAGCAGGCTTCTGTCCCCTCCTGGATCCTAGGACCTCCTCTCCCAGTTCTAGGGCGGGCCCTGGCCCCCAGCCCCAGCCCAGAGGGCTCTCCCAGCCAGCACCCCCTCTCCCTCCACCCTAGCTCTAGGTTCCCACCCTGGAGTCTGGCAGAGCACCAGCCTTCAGGCCTGGATCAAGAGGACAGCAAGGGAGGACTGGGGTAGCTGGGAGCTTAGTCTAACTGAGCCTTACTGTTCTCACCCTCCAGCCAAGCTCCCAAGTCTTCCTTCTCCCAGCTCCTCAAATTCAACCCAGCCAGAGCTAAGCTGGGCCCAGATAGCCCTTTTCCCATCTATGGCCCCCTTCCCTAAATGTTCCCCCAATACTCACCCTGGGTCAGGCCCAAGGCCATCAGTAACATCAGAAGGCCCCTCCTGGGGGTGCCCAAGGTCATGGTCCCTGGAGAGAAGATCAGTAAGATCGGCAAAATGTGACAGCCGCTGACCGTGGCTCCCTCCCACCCAGAGGAAATCACTGAGAGTTTTTTGGGGGGAGACAGGGAGGCCACCTCCCCACTCCCTGCGTCTGGCTTTGGGGCGGGGCCTGCAGGGGAAGTCCTGGTTCACTTCCCCATGGAAACCATCCTGTTAGGGGTGAAGGGTGGAGAGTCATATTTAAGTGAAAGCTTGGGGAACCCAGCTCTTCACCCCTGCTGCTGAGCTCAGGCTAAAAGCAGGTTGGGGGGTGGGGTGACGCAGAGGGTGCCAGGCTGGGGTAGAAGGTACATCTCTTCATCAGCCCCCTCCTGTCCTCTGCCTTTTGCCCACCCCTCCCAGCCTCCACCTCTGCCCACCCATTTCCCAGTGCCCCCCCAGCCCTGGCTGCCTCAAACATAAACAGGCTCCTGTCTTCACTTCCTGCCATTCAGGGCCCCGCCAGGCCAGGAACAGGAATCAAGATTGTTTAGATTGGGGTCTGGATAGAACAAGCAGGAGTCACGCACAGCAGGGAAGTAAGGGCATATTCTCAGGGCAGGCCGGAGTTGCTACAGGGTCCGGAAGAGCCACCTGGGGCTGGGACACTCACATGATAGGCTCCTGGGAGGACACCTTGTGAATCACAAAGCCCTGCCCCTTATTTTAGAAAAGAGGAGAGATTAAAGCTCAGAGGGGAAGAGACTTGTCCAGGGTCCCACAGGACTCAGAGGCAGCACCAGGAGTACGACTCAGGTTTCCAGACTTCAGTCAGTACGCTTTCCACTCTGTCTCTCCATCCAGTGGTGGCAGTCCGCACCTGAGCCCTCAGGTTCGTAACAACCATGCAAAGCTTGGGCAGTGTCACACCATGTCAGGTGTAAAGGAACCTCTCTGTAATCTCGGCAGAGTACAAAATGCTCTCTCTGAGCCAGCCCTTGGCCCCCTTCTCTCTCCTTGCTGTCCTGGGAAAGGCTCAGGGGATGATGGCTGGCTATGTAGGAGGGGAAGTGAAACATATTGATACTTAGATGCTGGCTAGAGCTGAACTTTTCCAGAAGTTTGTTGGAGAGTGTTAAAGGGAGTAATTCTAGTCTATGCTAGTCCCAACCCAAATCCCAAACCAACTAGTGCTTTAGAAGCTACCCACTCTTCATTTCTTAAGGATTTAGAATCAGAAGATTTGGGCTGAGGCTGCAGCAAGAAGGACAGTGGCCAGACAGCAACAGGGACTTTCTGAGTGGTGGAATGTGTGCAGGTGTGTGTCTGGGGACTGGACCCCCAGGCAGGGCAGCTGACAGGGAGGGAGGGAGAGTGTCCTTTGGCATGACATGGTGAGGCTAATAGGGCTGGGCGTGTAGCCAGCTAGGCTGCAGAAGGCCCATAGTCTAAGAATGGTGCCAAATGAAGACCCAAGATGCTGAACCTCTGAGGGCAGGATGGCTGGGGGTGGGGTGGGGGGCTTCGTGGGCCTCTCTGGCTGATGGCAGCTCTGGCCTTCCTTCCTGGGCTTCCTCTGCCCCAGAGGCCCAGGCTGGGGGAGGAAACAGAGCCCTGGGCTGCTGCAGCTGTGTCCCCAGCCTCTGCCTGACCTCCTGCCTCTTGCCCCTCCCAGCAGCTAGTGAGTACTCCGGCAAGCACTGTGCAGAGGGACCGGTGATAGGATGGAGAGAGAGCCCCAGAGGAGCCAGATCTGCCCCCTGGGATACTGGGAGGAAACCATCCTTGAAGGCCTTTACTTGCCCAGAAAGCAGTTAAGGAGAGTATGAGGTGGGAAGAAAAAAGTGGCTAACAATAAGGATAAAATCTGGCACCGTTCTAGGACCCTCTCCCCATGCTTCCAACTCTCTAATCATGCCCCTGCTCACCCTCTCACCTACTTTGTTATGCATTGGAATCACCTGAAGTGCTTGGTTAGAAACATACGTTCTCTGCTCTCGCCTTCACTCCAGATTCTGATTCAGTCTATCTGGGACTAGCAAGAAACATACATTTTTTTTTTTTTTTTTTTTTGAGACAGAGTCTCGCTTTGCTGCCCAGGCTACAGTGAGTGCCATGGTGTCAGCCTAGCTCACAGCAACCTCAACTCCTGGGCTCAAGCAAACCTTCTGCCTCAGCCTCCCGAGTAGCTGGGACTACAGGCATGCGCCACCATGCCCGGCTAATTTTTTCTCTATATATTAGTTGGCCAATTAATTTCTTTCTATTTTTATAGTAGAGACAGGGTCTCGCTCTTGCTCAGGCTGGTTTCGAACTCCTGACCTCGAGCAATCCTCCCGCCTTGGCCTCCCAGAGTGCTAGTATTACAGGCATGAGCCACCGCGCCTGGCCAAGAAACATACATTGTTTTAAAAGTTCTCCAGGGAATTCTGATCAGTTTGTGTGAGCGCCACAGTTTAAGAAATGTGTTCTACACAACACTAAGACTGGTTCCTGTGCTTTCATTTCTCTCTGCAGGTCCCTGCTGGGTGAGTGGGAGAGGAAGGGAACTCTCACTCCCACTCAGTGACCTCCCCATCTCCGGGGGTAGAAGGGACAGCCAAGGTCAAACACCAAGGCCAGGGACTTGGCAACACCACACAGCAAGGCCTGGCAACATTTGCAGAACCCACCACTGGTGTAATCTTGGGAATGTGATGGAGTAAAATTGAGACTGTCCAATTTTTAACTGGGCCCAGGGTAAGGTTAAGTACAGGAAGGTGCCAAGTCCTGACCAGTCCAAACTCAGAGCTCACCCTGCACGATCTGCCCTGAAATCTGACTGTAACACAAACAGATTCCCAGGGCCTAGCAGAATCCTTTCACTTGTAAGCAAACCTTTGTGTAAGATCTCCAGCTGATAGAAGCATCACTGCTATCAGCCAGAAATCACAAATGTTAAACTAATTTCAAACATTAGCTTACTACCATGAAATAATAATAACAGTTAACCTTCTCTGAGTACTAATTGTGCGCTAAGTACTGAGCTTTCGTGGTTCATCCCATTTCATCTCACAACAATCTGATGGAGAAACTGAGGCTTGGGGATGTTAAATTTCTTGCCCTTAGTCACCCAGTGTGTCTTGCTAAACTTCAGTTGCTGATAATAAATCCTTCCTTGGTCATTGTTATTCCTCCAATTGTTAGATGAGTCCCTCAAAGGAGGAAAAAGATATGGATCTTAGTGGATATGAACAAATTGCTCACTGCTGTTGGCATTGATGGGTGCCCTACTCAGGTTTGTTGTAATGCAAAGAGCAGTGTTGCTGCCCAGAAATCATCTGTTTGCCATAGACTTAGTCAAAGTCTGAGCCTCAGGCAGGGAGAGCTGGAGTGGGAGTGTGCCTGGAAGGCAGCTGTCAATCCCCAGCATGCAGATTGAACCCACTCCCACCAGCAGCAGTGGCTCAGCACAGCAGTGATTGTCACAGGGCTGCGGAAGCGCATCCTCCTCACTCTCTGCACTTCAGCAGGTCTTACCCAAACAGCAGAGGACCACACTGAGCTGTTCAGATTGGGTTCCCCTTACGATTCTTCCACAGCACTTCATTAGCCCCTCACAGCGGGCGGTGTGATGTAGCAGAACACGCCTGGATTTTAGGGTCTCAGGCAGACCCTGGAGGTGTGGGTTCTGGATCATAGAGACCTGGAGGTGTGAGTTCTGGATCATAGAGACCCTGGAGGTGTGGATTCAAATCCTGCCTTTGCCACTTAGAGCTATGAGATTTGAGGCAAGTTAGTTAGACTTTCTGAGGCTTAGGCTTTCTCTCATATGTAAAAATGAAAATAATAGCGCTTATTTCATAGGTATAATGTAAAATTATTCAGCAGGGTACTAAGTGGTACGCAGTAAGAACTTTTTTTTTTTGAGACAGAGTCTCGCTTTGTTGTCCAGGCTAGAGTGAGTGCCATGGCGTCAGCCTAGCTCACAGCAACCTCAAACTCCTGGGCTCAACCGATCCTCCTGCCTCAGCCTCCCGAGTAGCTGGGACTACAGGCATGCACCACCATGCCTGGCTAATTTTTTATATATATATTAGTTGGCCAATTCATTTCTTTCTATTTATAGTAGAGACGGGGGGGGGTCTCCCTCTTGCTTAGGCTGGTTTCGAACTCCTGACCTCGAGCAATCCGCCCGCCTCACCTCCCAGAGTGCTAGGATTACAGGTGTGAGCCACCGTGCCCGGCCCAGTAAGCACTTAATAAATGTTACCAAACCCTCAACCCTACCATTTGTGCCATCCAAGGAGCTTTGAACAAGTTATTCAAGTCTGACTTTGTTTTCTCTTCTGTAGGATGGGCATCAAAACTCCTCTTCTGCTAGGTAGTGGCCAAGATTACATAAGAGAAATACATCCAAGTGTCTGCATAGTAATACTCAATAAATGGCAGCTATTTTTAACAACCCAATGAGATGAGAGGACACTCACTAAGACAAAGGGGGCAATGAGGGATCAGAGAGGGCAGATGCTGACTCAGCCAGAGCTGCCCATAAATAGAGGGTGAGAGCTATTGTCCATTATGCCCCAGTCTTTGGAGAAGAAAAGAGAGGGTGTGCCGCCAGCCCAGAGATGGGCTCAACAGCACTGGCCTCCAGGGCAGACTGAAAACCTGGGGTCCCAGCCTGGAAGGAGACTGGGATCCCCTTTGGCCTGGATCCTGAAGCAAGGCCACCTTCACAGGGATTATCTGACCATACAGGGTTATAGTGTCAGATTCCTTAAGCAAGAGCTGCAAGGGCTGGTCTAGGAAAGGTGGGCTCCAAGGGAAGGCTCAAATGAGTTGAAAGTGGACACTCACAGCTCAACCCAGTAGCCTGGAGGGACATGGGATCCCGTCTCCGTGAGTGAAGCAAGACAATCTTTGCCCATTTTCTTCTGCTCATTTTATGGACGAAGATAGGAGAAGAGAGAAGTTAAGTGACTCACGCCGGACACCCGGCTGGAGCAAAGTTTTCTGATTTCCAGTCCGGGTTCCTTCCAGCCCCCTCCCAGTCTCAGGTGGGGTAATGTGCAGATGTGCACTGACGGAGGGGACAGCTTGCATTCCTGATAAGCTGGGACTGACCCTACCCCACCTCTCGGAGGGGTCCCTGAGACCCACCAGAAAGAAGGGCCTACTGGGACCCAGGTCAGTGCGACCCCCAACCCCGTCCCGCCCGCCTACCTCGACTCACCTCTCGGCCGGCCCTGTGGGCAGCGGGGCGCGAGCGTGCAGCTGGCGGGGGCCGCCTCCACTCCCTGGCGACGCCGACCGCGGTCGCACGACAAGCACCGGACAGCGGGCCGGGGTCCCGGCGCGGCCCCGGACGGGGCTGGGGCCCGGGAGGGGCTCGCTGTGCGCGGCCGGCGCGGCGGCCTCTCGGGACTGGGAAGGGGGCTGGAGCAAAAATGTTTCTTATTCCAGCGTCTTCCTGCCTGGCCCTGCTCCACCACTCCCTCCTAATAAGCGGTTTCCTATTGCCCAGCTCGCCGCTCGCGCCCGCTCGCCCCTTGCTGGGGCTGCAGGACCCGGCCCCTCCTCCGCGCCGCTCCCAGACCCCCAGGGCGACCGCCACTCCAGCCGCCCCCCGCCCCTGGATCGCTGGCCCGCGTCCCCGCCCGAGCCTCCCACATCCGCCTCCCCGCGGGGGCGGGCCTTGGACTCGGGCCGTGGGGGTCCCGTGGAGTCCTGGCCCAGAGCCGCGGGGGCCAGAGGCGAGAGCCCAGGCGCTGTCTGGCTGCCGAGGTGGGGGCCGCTCGCAGCAGCTGAGGGGCCGCCTGGAACCTGGGCGTCTGGAACCCGCGGCACCGACGGAAGGACACGCAGGGGCGGGAGGGCGAGGGACGGTACCTGGCCTTATCCCTATCTCCACGCGGAGTCCTCGGTCTAGGAGGCGAGGGCAGAGCGCGGGGCTGGTAAGGTCCAGATGTATTTTGGCTGTGCCCCTGGGGCCTCCCGACTCCCAAAGCTTTCAGCCTCCTCCCTGGGACCTCTTCGTACACACACCCTGGTCCCCTTTGCTCCTCCGAAGCCTCTCCGTGTCAGCTCCCAGCACAGGGGCACACTGGCCTAGATGGATGGCTCTGAGTTAGCGGTGAGCCCTTCGGCAGCACAGTAGAGTGACAAGAGCAACATCCTCTCCTGGGGGCAGCCAGAGTGGACGGAGACCCAGGAGCTGCCTTGGATTTTCCCCTCCCAGGTAGGCACCCCACCCCAGCCCAGGTAGGCACCCCACCCCAGCCCACCAAATGGAGCTTCAGATAGAGGTGGGGACAGAGGCGCCCTCGGCTGGGCATGCTGCTGAGACAACGCAGGTAAGGGGGGCGTCCACTCCCAGGGGCTTCAGCTCCCAGGGGATATAAACTTCCTCCTGATGCCCCTGCAGGCTGGGAGCCTTGACCTCATCGCCTTGTGAGCACCTGAAGGCAGGACTCTGGTTTTATTCCTAGCCTCCTGGATACCCACAAAGACTCTGGAGTCAGACTACCTACTAGGAATCCAGGCTAGTTGCATTACCATAGGCTAGTGACACCTCTCCATGCTTCAGTCCCCATCTGCCGAACAGGCATAGTGAACGGTGCCAGCCTCATAGGGTGGCTGTGAGAATAGGAGGAAATGATGCTCATCTCAGTTCATAGCAAACTTGCAGGCTGGCTGAGCCTGACTCAGAGTAGGCCCTCAATGAAAGAGTTTGTTAATTAAATGAATAAATGAAAAGACTGGGGAGGGGTGGCCTCAGAGCCGTGTGGAGAGATGTGGGCATTAGAAGCAGGAGTCCATCTCTAAGATGTCTTTCTCTAATATGGGGATTCTGCAAGATGGGCCAGGGACCCCTAGCCTTTGACAGGAATAGAGGCTGGGGGAGACGGTGGCTAAAGGCTCAGACAGGCATCAATGGTTGACTGACCTCACTTCCTCTACTGAAACCCTCCCCATCCCCTACCCTACACACAGTTGCTTCACAACTTGTTGCCAGCATTGTGAATTCCCAGAACCCCGGCACACCCAAATTTCAGTGTCAGGACAGAACTGTGTCCTGCAGCCAATAGGAAGTACTATGGGATTACAGTATCTGCTCTTTCAGATTATAGCAGCCACTTCGGCACTCTATTAGCTGGAGAACTGGGAGCTTGGTCGCATGTCTGTCCTTCACACCCACTCACCCCGCTGCCCTGCTATGGCTTCTGGTCAGCCTTTCCTGCCCCAGCCCAAGGGTCTCTGTCCTAGGAGGTGGGGGTGGGGCACTCCCAAGGGAAATGCTCAGTCTGAGATCCACGCTGAGAACAGGAACATCAAGATGGACAAGAGCTGATAGTCACTTATGACAGTTGGTGGGGATGGAAGACTTTATCTGGGCAGGGTTTGTGAAGCAGATAAAAATAGAGTATAGCTTGGGAGTTGGAAGAGAGGAACCCCGGGGAGATGAGGGCTTTTCACCAATGCTGGGGTCTCCTCCACCTCCCCAGACACTGAGCCCTCTGGACCCTGACTGGGTCTCTTGTCAACCCCATGCCTTCCAAAGCACACAGAAAACCTGGGGGAGGTGTTAGAGGAGGGACACAGAATTGGAGAAAGCACTGGAGACTCAGCTCAATGAGGAAAGGGAAAAGGAATTACAGACTGTGTCCAAGTCTACAAGAATTAATTACTCAGAGGGACCAGCTGTTCCCCATATTCAGTGAGGACAGAACAAGAGGAAACAGGCCCAGAGATTCAAATTTAGATACTCAGAGGATTTCCCAAGCAGTGCATTAAGCAGAGGCCTGGAGATCCTGGGAAGGGTGTGCAGGGTGACACTTCATGGAGATGCTCACCTATGGAAGGCAGGCACATGGAGTCTGGCATGAAGGCAGGGAAATGGACACCTTGACCTTTCAGGATCAGCTATGAGTGTTAAGTTCAAGCATCACTCTTGACACCAGGACAGAGCTAGCTTCAGGGTATGTGATCTGTGCAGAGGCACAGAGCCCCATGTTAGTTTAATGCTCTGCTGTTGCCATCTTGAAATTCTTAATAATTTTCATAATGATATTTGAACAATAGACCCAGCATTTTCATTTTGTGCTGGGCTCCACAAATTATGTAGCCAGTTCTGCACCAGGGTGAGTAGGGAGGAAAAGCAGCAGGTGGTGAGCTGGGCTTTGCTCCACTTAAATTGCAGAGGGGGGAGAATTAGATTAGATAATTTAGGGATTTTTCAAACACAAGAGACATGAAAACAGTAGAGCGGAGTACCCCAGGAGAAAGAACCGTGGGTCTCCTTTAGGGGCGACAGGGGGCAGATACCTGTAAATTCCATTCATCCATCCATTCAGCACATATGGGAGATGCCCAGTCCTATGAGTGAATTGGAGTCTGGAGGAAGAAGGAGAAGAAATGACCCCCCTAGGTCTTCAGCTCAAGGCAGACAGCACCATGGTGTCTGAAAAGAGAGTAGACTGTAGATCATGGGGCCTGGGTTCCACACCTGGATCACTTTTCTGGGCCTCAGTTTCTTCCTCTGTACACTGAGGGCTTTACACCAGATAATCCTGAAGGTGCTTCCCAGCCTTACGCAATTTTCTTTAGCTGTAAGACTCAGGAAACTACCTGGTCCCAGGCCTTGTCATTGTAACTCAGGTGAAAGAGCAGCTTGGCTGGTGTCTATGTTTGGGGAGGGAGGGGGTGGCCAGAGCTCTGCCCCGCACCTCAGGAAGAGGCTGGCAGACACGGGCCCGACTCCCAGACTTTGCGCCGCCAAGTCATCTTCCTCTTCCTCTCCAGCACTTCCAGATTTCCTCTAGATGGGTTTGTCCACTCCTTGCCCAGCCCTGAGCCCTCAGGATGGCTCAGCTCGGATGGAGCCTCTTGAGGAAGGGATGGCATGCCTGGGCAGGAGAGGCTTGGGGTCAGACGGTGCCCACACGACGGCATGGGGTGGGTGGGCGTGAAGCCTGGTCTCCGTTGAGAAGCTGTTTCGGCATCACCTCATCCCCCGCAGTCTAGTGGGCTCTGCATTGCCCCTCCCAGCTTCCCAGGGGCGTTCTCGCCCCCTACACCGGCCTGCACAGAGGAAGAGGAGAGGTCGAGGCAAGGGCGCAAGCTTAGAGTCAGAATACCTGTGTATGAGCCCCAGTTTCCATACCTGTAGGAAGGGGTTGGTAATTCCTTCCGCACCACATTCTCAGACTAAAAGCAAGATATCTGTGAAAGTGCTCTACGGGTGTGAAACCCACACAGACGTTTGCTTTGTTTGGAGGGAGGGCGCAGAGCTGTCGGGGAGAAGAAAGAGCACTGAACCGGGAGTCGGGGGGCCTCAGGAGTGGCTGCGCAGCGGTGGAGGAGCCTCTGTCTCCTTCCCTGCAGTGACAAGTATTGAATGGTGCCTCTTCCACTAATAGTCGTGTGAGGGTATTACACAGGTGAATACATAGCAAAGAGGGAGGCAGCCGTTTTGAAAAACTCAAGAAATCCCAAATAGGCCAGGTGCAGTGGCTCACCCCTGTAATCCTAGCACTCTGGGAAGCCGAGGCAGGCTGATCGCTCAAGGTCAGGAGGAGTTCAAGAGTAGCCTGAGCAAGAGCAAGACCCCGTCTCTACTAAAAATAGAAATAAATAATTGGCCAACTAAAAATATATAGAAAAAATTGGCCAGGCATGGTGGCGCATGCCTGTAGTCCCAGCTACTCAGGAGGCTGAGGCAGGAGGATTGCTTGAGCCCAGGAGTTTGAGGTTGCTGTGAGCTAGGCTGATGCCACGGCACTCACTCTAGCCCGGGCAACAGAGTGAGACTCTGTCTCAAAAAAAAAAA